TCTCCTGGCCTCCTTGTCCTGCCCTCCTCTGAAGCACTTGTGTTTCCCTTCTTTCTCCAGGGACGTCCAGATCGGGGACATTGTGACGGTGGGCGAGTGCCGCCCGCTCAGCAAGACGGTCCGCTTCAACGTTCTGAAGGTGACCAAAGCCGCCGGCACCAAGAAGCAGTTCCAGAAGTTCTGAAGAAGGAAGGCAGGCAGGAGCTTCCCTCAACTCCCAAATAAAGTTTTTCTAAAGACCCCCGCTGGTTCCTCCGTTCCTGGAGAAACAGGATTCATTTCTCATCAAGGAAGGCCCTGCCTCAATACGAGTACTACTACTACTATTATTATTATTATTATTATTATTATTATTATTGCAGCTTGTTTCAAAAAAGTGGACCTAATGTGAAATTGCTGTTAATAATCATGATGATGATAATGATGATAATGATAATAATAATAATAATAAACTTTATTTATACCCCGCCACCATCTCCCCCAACACGGACTCGGAGCGGCTTCCATGGGGCCAAGCCCGAATAACAAACTACAATACAAAAATACAAATTGCAGTAACATAAACAACATAACAATAATATATAGAACAGTGTTTCTCAACCTGGGGGTCAGGACCCCTGAGGGGGTTGTGAAGGGGTGCCAGGGGTTGCCAAAGAGCATCAGAAAACATAGCATTTCCTGGTGGTCATTGGGATTCTGTGTGGGAAGTTTAACCCAATTCTGTTGTTGGTCAAGTTCAGAATGCACTTTGATTGTAGGTGAACTATAAATTCCAACATCTACAACTCCCAAATGTCAAGGTCTTATTTTCCCCAGACTCTGCCAGTGGTTCTGGGAGTTCTGTGTGCCAAGTTTGGTTCGATTGCATTGTTGGTGGAGTTCAGAATACTCTTTGATTGTAGGTGAACTATAAATCCCAGCAACTACAACTCCCAAATATCAAGGTCTATTTCCCCCAAATTCCACCAGTGCTCACATTTGGACATATTGAGTATTCGTGCCAAGTTTGGTCCAGATCCATCATTGCATGAATCCACAGTGGTCCTCTGGATATAGGTGAACTATAACTCCCAAACTCAAGGTCAATGCCAACCAAACCCTTCCAGTGTTTTCTGTTGGTCATGGGAGTTCTTTGTTCCAAGT